ACCAGATGACTCTCCTCCTGGCTCGGCCAAAGGAAGTCCATTCCACTGGGGGCCCAAAGATCTAAAATATATTTATAACTCACAATACGCCCCAGGGTAGCCAAGTGCACCAGGCACATCAAAGTGCCCAAGTAGAACCAGTCACATGTTCTGCGACTCCAAAGGGCTGCAGCCAGGCTGACTACAGGCAGTAGAGAACTGACTCGTTTACATTAATCAGATCACGCTATTTACAAGAGGATTACCTATCAGAACATTTTAATCCCCGGCTATTTTCCATCTGCCTAGCCTACACAACTGACTGGGCCTAATTCAGTCCAGCTACAATGTTCAGGGACACTCATGTCAATAATAACTTAATGAAGCTACAGCTGAGAAAGTCAGCCAACTACTAAGCTTACTCCAATGCATAGCAAGATCAAATGTGAATTATTTGGTCAGGGTGTGGTAGCACACATCTGTAATCCCAGCCACTTAGGAGGCTGAGGCAAGAGAATCACAAGTTCCAGGTGAGCCTTAGCAATTTAGTGAGGCCCTGAGCAATTAAGACCCTGTCTCAAAATAAAAAGGGTTGGCGGTGTAGTTCAATGGTAAAGCACCCTTGGGTTCAATCCCCAGGAACAAACAAACAAACAAAAAATACTAATTTGAATTACTGAGAAAATGATGTTTTGATTCCAAATTATCCCTGTTCTATCCATTCTTCTGCTATAAGTAAACCAAGAGTGGGTTTATCTGAACTCTTTTTTTAAATACTTTCAGTTGTAGATGGACACAATATATTTATTTATTTATTTGTTCGTTTGTTTTTATGTGGTGCTGAGGATCAGACCCAGTGCCTCACCTGTGTGAGGCAAGTACTCTACCACTGAGCTACAGTCCCAGCCCTAATCCAAACTCTTAATGCATAACAGAGGACTGCATCCCAACATCAGAAAATTCAAAAGTAATTTTGGAAAATCTGGTGATTCCTTAGAAAACAAACTACTGACAAGTTAAACAACTGACTAGGACTTGCCAATTTCACAGTAATAAAACCTAATTAAAGAAGTATCCACTGGGGGCTGGGGCAGCCTAGCACGTGTGAGGTACTGGGTTCGATCCTCAACACCACATTAAAAAAAAAAGAACTGTACACTGGTTACCTGTTTCCCATTACAACTCAGGAAAGTGAGGAAGCCCCACCAGCTCCAACATACACATACACACACACTCACTCATGCATGTAGAATAGAGAAAATGGGATTTACATTCAAAAATAAAGACTTTATTGCAGAGATGGGGATGTAGCTCAGTTGGTAGAGTGCTTACCTCATGTGCACAAGGCCCTGGGTTCAATTCCCAACACCACAGGGAAAAAAAAAAGACTTTATTGCACATGTAGTTCACACTAAAATCAGTTAAAAGGGGGAGGAGAGGAAAAAGGTCACAGAGAAAATATTTCCATATATGCCAGCAAGGTCAAGATTAGGAATTGGGACTAAGCACAGTGGCACATGCCTGTAATCCCAGTGGCTCAAGAGGCTAAGGCAGGAAGATCGCAAGTTCAAAGCCAGCCTCAGCAACTTAGCAAGGCCCTAAGCAACTTAGTGAGATCCTTTCTCTAAATAAAATACGAAAGGGGCCGGGGATATGGTTCAATGGTTAAGTGCCTCTGGGTTCAATCCCTAGTACCAAAAAAAGAAAAAAATTAGAAACTAGGGCCTCCTGACCCATTTCCCAGTAGGTCTCACCTACTCCAAACAAGGAGTTCATTCAGTATAGCCAATGACTCCAACTATCTGAGGCTATCTCCCTCTCCTGAGCTCCAGTTCTCAGTTCTCCCACAGCCCACTGAACATCTCCATCTCACGCACCTGGATACTAATTAATGGGCCCCCAATGACCTTTTCACCATCCCCAAACCTAGTCCTATTTTTTTTTTTAATGGTACCAGGGATTGAACCCAGGGGTACTTAACTACTGAGCCACATCCCCAGGCCTTTTGTATTTTTTGTATTTTATTTAGAGACAGGGTCTCACTGAGTTGCTTATGCTGGCTTTGAACTTGTGATCCTCCTGCCTCAGCCTCCCAAACTRCTGGGATTACAGGCATGTGCCACCTCACCCGGCCTGGTCCTCTTTCTTACTCCCTGTTTCAATGAAGTGCCACCATCCACAGTCACTAAAGCATCCCCTACACCCCTAAGCAGTGCTGACTAAATCCAATCCTCTTTTACTCCCACTGCTCCTGACTTCATGAACCCTGACCACTCAGGTCTGGACCATGAGCAAAAGAAATCATACTTGAGAGATAGAACTTGCCTCCTGGGTCTTTTGGCCCAGAGGGCTGGCTGGCTTCTAGTCCTCTCCTCTTGCCTACAGAGTACTCACAYCAGCTCCTAGAAATGACACTGAGTATGGAATCTGGGAACTGCCTGCCACTGCACTCCTTCCTTGAACACTAACTCCCCCTCTTCTTCACCTTGCCTACTCCTGCTCCTCCTTCAAAACAGCTCARTTACAGCACCAGAAAGCTTTCCGTGGCCTCCAGGAGCCTCCACATACCACCATGCCCTTCTGCCTTACTTTCCTGTCACTGTTCATGGGTTTGGCCATCTTGAAGGCAGGGCTATATCTTTACCATTGCTTCCCCTGGTACCTAGCACAGCAGTGCTCTGTACACGTGACAAATAAATGAATTATCCAGAGTTCCCTAATGGTAATGAGTCAGATGCTTGCTTAAGAGGAAATAACAGTATTTCGAGATCACTAATTAGAAATGACCTTAAGTAGAGTTCTCGGTCTCTACAGCCATTTCTAAGCCTGAAAGGAAACCACGGCAGTAAAAGCAACGAGCACTGTTCCTCTTGCTAGCCACAAGGATGCACCAGCACCTCCCCCCCCAATGTTGAGTCAGACTGGCAAGCTGAAATCTAAAATAACTTGAGCTCATGACTACACAGATCTATTATCAATGAATCAATGATCAGAGAGTTACAAGAAACCACATCATTTGGGGAATGAGGAATTGGGAGGTGCAGCAGAACAATGGAGAAGAAATGAAAGTCAGCAGCCAACAGTGGGTGAGTGGCCATGACAGACATGAATAACTCCAAACACCCAGGCCACAAAGAGCCAGAAAAAAAAGTCTGCAAGCCCTAGCACGGTGGCACACACCAGTAATCCCAGCCAACCAGAGAGGCTAGGCAGGAAGACCACAAATTCAATGTCAGCCTCAGCAACTTAATGAGACCCTGTCTCAACATAAAAAAGTTTTAAGGGGGGTTGGGGGGAAAAAAAGTTTTAAAAAGGGGTGGGGATACGGCTCAGTTAAGTACCCCTGAGTCTTATCCCCAGTACCAAAAGAAAAAAGAAAAAGAAAAGAAATCTGCAAACCATACAAGGCAAAGGACAGGTCAAAAACCTACAGTATCACTCAACACTGGTCAAAGTATTTATCCTCAATTCTACCATAGGTATTATTTCCAAGGAGTATAAAACAAGAACTTTTGTCTTAATGCCCAAGAAACTGAGCTTTTGATTAAACTATTGACTCAGAGAAACAACTGGCTCCCTCCCAACTTAATCATGAAGAAATATGGAGCCACACAAACTACATCCCATTGACACTAGTTACAAAAAACTTTGGGAAGTCAACTAATTTAGACTCTACCTATACCTGCACTGCCTCTCAAAACACACACACACACACACACACACACACACACACACACAAACTCTCTCTCTCTCTCTCTCTCAAGAGAAATGCCTTTTTAAAAACAACTTGTAGGGGCTGGGCCTCTAGCTCAGTGATACAGTACTCGCCTTGCATGTGGAAGGCACTGGCTTCAATCCTCAGCACCACATAAAAAGGCATTGTATCCATCTACAACTATATATATTTTTTAAAACAATTTGTAGAAACTGCCCCAGGTAATAATCAATTCCAAAGACAACATAAATTAATAACATGGTTTTCACAGTTTGGACATATGAAAGGGCATAACAAAGGGGCCTACCTAAACAGCCTGTCTTTGATGGTAGAACATGTTTTGAAACTTTAAACCAAACTTCTCAGTAATTTGATGCCAGGGGCTAGACAAATCATCTGAGTTCACGACCCAGTGGAATGACAGGTCTCTGGCTAAGCATCAATTACGGAAAATACAGAGGCTACTACCTCTTCTACACTGGAGTGTGGGGAGGTAGGGGGTGTCTTATTGTGAAACCTGGGCCCTTCTGATCAGTAGGCTTCCAAGAGTTCCTTCCTGCCTTGATTCTATCACCTAAAAGTTCCCCTAAATCAAACTTCAGTTTTTGCTGAAAATCTTGCAGTTACTCAATAAGAGCAAGCTCCCCTCCATACCCAGAATCAGAACATAACTGAAACCCGGGTCTCTGTCCCACAAGCAAGAAGGCCCCATCTCAGCCTAGGGACGCCTAAGACAATGCAACCTCAACTACAGGATGCAGTTGGAAGACCTTTTCTTGGGGATCGAGCATAAGGGCCAAATGTCCCTAATAAGAAATCCATTTGCACACAGGAGAATCACCTTTCCCTTCCTTCAACAGCAGCGACAGCAGCAGGCCTCTCAGGCCGGCGCCTTCTGGGCCAGTGTCTGCTCTCCAAGACCACGAGCCTCTTTCACCATTGACACAACTCACTCCAGTACTTTTCCAGAGCGCAGGCCCTTGAGCAGCGTGACCGGGCTCTCGGCGGTTCCTCTTCCCTCGCCCGAGCGCCACTGACTCAGGATTGCCCAACAGCCTCTCGAGCCGGGCTGCGAGGGCCGCGCGCCCGCCGCGGGCGGGCCCGGCTGATTCACTCCCGCCACGCCGGCCCTCGGCGGCGTCAGGCACACACGTCTCGGGCCCAGAGGGGACCCGGACCGGGCCTCCACGCGCTCCCCGGCCCCCGCCAGGCTCTGCCCGCGGCCGGCGGCCCGCAGCTCGCCGGCGCCCGAAGCGCACCCAGCGCCGCCTCCAGGGCTCGCGGCCGCGGCGGGGGCCGCCCTCACCTGCGCCGGCGGTCCCGGCTCCTGCCCAGGCGGTCGGACAGGCGCCCCAGGAGCGCGGCCAGCCCGGGCCGGCCCGGCAGCAGACCCAGCAGCCGCCTCCAGAACACCGGCCCCGCCGCCGCCGCCGCCGCCGCCATGGAGACTCGCCGCTTCCGCTTCCGGCGCGCGCGAACTTTATTGGAAACACGAGCGCGGACACGGCGGCAGCGCGCAGGCGCTCGAGTCCCCGGGAGCCCGCGGGAAGGGCGCAGGCGTGGGGCGGCCCGCGCTCGGTGGGCCCGGCCGGCTGTCCGCGGAGCCGCGTGGTCCTGTCGGGCTGCTCTTGAGCGAGCGGGCGGGCGGGCTCGTGCGCGCCCCCGAGGCGCTGGTCTTGCTSGACGCTGACCCTCCAAGCCGCCCACCGGGGACCGGGGCCGACTCCCCGCGGACGGTCGTGGTCAGCGTCAGGCTGCCCCTGAGCGGACGGAACAAAACCTCTGTGAGATAAATAGGGTGTCCTCCGCCCTCCTAATGTGACCGTCCCCTGGTCAGCCCTGGCGCCTGGAAGTGCACAGGTTTGCACCTCAGTAAACGGAAACAACAGGAGCCTATGAGCCACCAACACTTTGCTTTTTTCTTTTCTTTTTTTTTTTGGTACAGGGTACACAGGGGTGCTTAACCACCACKGAAGCACGTCCCCGGCACTTTTTAATATTTTGTGACAGGGATCTCACTAAGTTGCTAAGGCTGGCTTTTTTCTTTTTMTTTTATTTATTTATTTTATTTATTTATTTTTGGTACTGGGGATTGAACTCGGGCGCTGGACCACTGAGCCACATCCCTCAGCCCTGTTTTGTATTTTATTTGGAGACAGGGCCTCACCGAGATTGCTTAGAGCCTCATTTTTGCTGAAGCTGGCTTTGAATTCGCGATCCTCCTTCCTCAGCCTCCCAGGTGACTGGGATCATGCCTCATCACCATGCCTCGCAAGCCATGAATACTTTCTACAGCTAATTTTAAGTAGGAGGAGGCTCAGGGGTATAGGTCAGGGGTAAAGAATTTACCTAGTCCTCAATTCAATCCCCAGCACTGCCAAAGGAAAGGAAAAGCTTGCAGATCTCTGAAAGGCAGGAGAGGGGAGCTCTGCTCTTTAATCCTGGCTAGCATCCACRAAGGCTGGACTTGGAAACTGGAAAAGCTGTAAAATGCAATCATATCCTACTTATCCCAAGGGTGCTGTGAGAATTAAATGATATGGTCACACTGAAAACAACATCCAGATCATCCCAAGGAAGTTAATTACACATTCCCACAAGAATGTTCACCTCAGTGTTTTTTATGATATGGAACTCATGGAAGGCATCTGTAGTGTGTGTGTGTGGGGGGGGGGGTTAAATTCACAGTGGCACGTTGGTGCGTGTGAAGGCCATACCTCCATGAAAAGTGATGTTCCAGAGGAATATCTGGTGACATGATGTGTAAAAACCAGTTACCCATGAGTAGCATAGAAACTATCTAATTTCATTAAAAGTTGAGAGAGATCGTGACTCAGTGGTAGAGTGCTC